GGAACTGTATTTTATTGTGGCACCAGAGCTCTCTGACAGAGAAGGCTCAATGTCTCAGAAAAAAAAACAACAATTCCCATGATTCCCTAGCACTAACCCTAACCCTAACCCTTAAAGTGGACTCAATTTGCACTATTTCTGGCAGACTGCAAAGGCCCTAGATCTTCTTTTCATCAGCCTAAACATTCCCAGTGGTGGAGAGAACTGGAGAATTGGATATGGAGAATTGGGCCAATCCTTCTCATTTGGGAGGATGCTCAAGAAGTGCAGAGGGCAGTGATGTTTTTCCCCTTGTTCCTTCTTGAAGCTGTCTCCCATCTGATAAATCAACCCTTTGAGAACACTCCTCCCTCCTTATCTCCAGAGGAAGCTTTTCAACTCCACCAGGCTGAAGAAAAAGAGGTGGAAACGGTAGAGAAAGGTCAAGCTGAACAACTATGGAGGGAAGAGGGAAGGAGGAGGATAACCAAACATACCACACCATAAAAAACTAGGATGGAGCTCAGGTGGGTCACCTGTTCCTGGGCAAGTGCTGTTTTGAGACGAAGCTCTGCCCTGTAATTTATTCTTCATTTACTGGAAGCGGAGAAGCTGCTGCCATGAACTGGAGCAATAGGTGGAGGAAGGATGAACTTTCTGGAGCTGAAAGAGGCATATTTTCCCATGAGTTGTGAATTGATGTGTCTTAAGAAACAAGGAAGCATTAAAAAAAACTCTGTTGAGTTAACTCAGGGCAAAAAATATAATTAGAGCATTTTGATACACTTTAATGGCTAGGGCTCCATCCTTTGGAATCCTGGGATTTAGAGTTTGGGGCAGTATTTAGTATTATTTGCTGCAGTTTCGGACAGTGCGATAGGATTTCTTGAGCAGAGAATTTGAAATAGTTGAATGAAATCCCAGGATTCCATAGGATCGAGCTCTGTGTGGCAGAGAAACTAATATCAAAGTGCTATAATTTTGATTTCAGATTCTGAACCAAGAACATCTGTTATTTGGGGATTGTTACATTGGCTTATATTACAGGGAACTTGCATCTGAGGAAGTAGACAAAAGTTGATACTACAACTTTTTCCACACAGTTAGTCTCAAAGATGCTATAAGATCTCTTTGCATACTGATATCCCAGACTACTATGGCTATGACTCTGAATCACAGGGTTGGTTATCAATGTTCCTGATTTAAACAAAAAATTTTTTAGCATCCCAATGATGGCAGATTTTGGTGGGCTCTATGGTCAGAAAACTTCAATGGACTGTTCTCACAATGGCCCTGTCTGCACAGACCAAATAAACCGGCCTTCCCCCCATCCCTTTCGGTCATCTTGGTGTGGAGTTCACATGATGCAAGATCCAAAGCCTGAGTTTGCTGCGAACAGACTGGATGATGTCTGGCCTGTTCAGCACCAAATCTGGGGTATACCTCTCTTAATACAAAGTAAAAAAGTCCTCCCTGTTTGCTCTGGATTTCTTCCATAGTTCCTCCATAACACTTTGGGTGTGGTGTAATGATTTGAGTGTTGGACTACAACTCTGGAGACCAGGATTCCCCGCCCGGCCATGAAACCAACTGGGTGACCTTGGGCAAGTCACAGTCTCTCAGCCTCAGGGGAAGGCATTATTATTATTATTATTATTATTATTATTATTATTATTATTATTATTATTATTATTATTATTAAACCTCTTCTGAACAAATCTTGCCAAGAAAACCCCATGATTTGGCCTTAGGGTCTCCAAAAGTCGGAAACAATTTGAAGCCACACAACAACAACAACCCTGCCTTATGCCTCAGTATCCTCAAATTCATTTCTCTTGCACTGAAAATAAGATGGCAGCAGAATTCCGTTTTTTAAATAAAGAATCCCAAATTGATTTCTTTGCAGATCACCTTAGCAATTCTCCCCAGCTCTCTTAAAAGGGCCTCCAGCTGCCAGGGATCACAATTATGCTATTTTAAAAATTAAACATGCCAAAATGGTATTGATAATCTTGCAGAGATGTCTCCAAGGCAAGCTGCTACCACAACCGCTGCATGCCTAAGCATGCTTTCTAAGATCTGTGGCTTAGAAGCATCATGAGAGGTCAGTCTCCTTTTTTTTTTTTGCAAGCCATCTCAAATCCAGTAGTTACTTTTGGGGTAAGAGAAGACATTTGGAAGTACCGTATTTTCCGGCGTATAAGACGACCAGGCGTATAAGACGACCCCCCATTTTTCCAGTCAAAATATAGAGTTTTAGTACCTCTATCCTCCTTATCCTTATACCCGGCGTATAAGACGACCCCCCCACTTTAACAACAGATTTTGCAGGTTAAAAAGTAGTCTTATACGCAGGAAAATAAGGTAACTCATGTATCCCTTATAAGCTAAACACAGTTTGGGGGCCTGATCCCGTTGGCGTCATACAACTGTGTATTTTCCTTATTGTTGCTTGTTGTTGTATACCTTCAAGTGATTTTCAACTTATGGCAACCCCAAGGTGAACCTATCATGTGTTTTTCTTGGCAAGTCACACGTTCTCAGCCTCAGGGGAAGGCAATGGCAAACCTCCTCTGAACAAATCTTGCCAAGATGATAGGTTTGCCTTAGGGTCACCATAAGTTGGAAATGCCTTGAAGGCACACAACAACAAGCAACACTTTGGGAGGTTTGAATATTGGGAGAAAATTGCCATGGCATATTTCTTTTCTCCCACAGAGGGTGAAAAGTAGCAGAATTATTCACCCTTACATGAGGATGAAATAGGGAAGGGTTAACATCCCTAGCTGTGGAAAATGGGAGTCATGGTCCAGCACATCTGAAGGGCATCTAAAAGTTGGCAGAGGCTCTCTTAGACCTGAGTGTCAGAAAGATGTAGGAGGGCCAGCTCAGAAGTGCTCTCCTTGGTTGCAGGAGGCAGACCTGACGCAGAGAGGCTGAACAGAGGCAGGTACCAGGAACGAAGCCTTTAAAGGTGAAATTCCTTACATTGCCGAAATATCACGGACTCCTCTGAAGTGGTGTTTGGGATCTCTTTGAACTGGGGTTGCCTGCTCACAGAGTGGAACAGAAAATTCAAAGCGAGAGGAATTCTTTCCGAATGCAGCTGGCTAACATGAGGAGAGCCTGGCTGGATGGGTCCCAAGTCTTCTCCTTCTCCTTCTCCTTCTCCTTCTCCTTCTCCTTCTCCTTCTCCTTCTCCTTCTCCTTCTCCTTCTCCTTCTCCTTCTCCTTCTCCTTCTCCCTCTCCCTCTCCCTCTCCCTCTCCCTCTCCCTCTCCCTCTCCTTCTCCTTCTCCTTCTCCTCTCCTCCTCTTCTTCTTTATGTTCATCATCTTCTTCTCCTCCTCCTCCTCCTCCTCCTCTTCTTTATGTTTATCTTCTTCTTCTTCTCCTCCTCCTTCCCTCCTCTTCCTCTTTCTCCTTTTCCTCTCCTCCTCCTCTTCTTTATGTTCATCTCCTCCTCCTCCTCTTCCTCTCTTCTTTTTCCTCCTCTTCCTCCTCTACCACATATACTCAGCTATAAGTCAACCTCATGTATAAGTCGACGGCCAAAATTATGGGTTTTGATATGACTCATGGATAAGTCGAGAGTGAAATTTAGGGACAGGTAACAAAGAATCTAAAGGATGAAGCAAAGGAAAATGATGCCAAATTTTGATGCCAAAATCCTTGCAGGCATAACTGTTTGTGTTCACCCTAAAGGCTGGATGGATGAGAGAGTAGAGAAGGCTCTATGCTTCCAGGACAGATTACACTCTTGCCTTTCACCAATGATGGTTCCCTTTTTAGTAAGAGTTAAAGTACAATATTTACATTGACTCATGGATAAGTTGACTCAGGGTTTTT